TAAATTGCATTATTTTCCTGGTTAAATTAATAAGAAAGGGCCTTCCATCTAGGTTTCAAACCTCGAATACGGGCTCTTAAGCACCACATTCAATTTGGAAGTGTTAGATCAATTACCACAGTGCATTATGCCATCAATTCACAGGTTAGAAATGCCATCAATTCACAATAGTGCACAATGTACTCAACTGCATTGATGAACATAACACCCATTAAAGCACATAAGAGAATATCAAACTTCAACAAGGACATACATATTTTTTCACATGGCTGTGGCTAATTATCATATGCACTAGCATCCTTTGTGTCTCCTAAAAGGAACCTAGGTTCTTAAATTACATGTCTGATATGTCATATGCCTTTTCCAAATTATATCTATAAAATGCTAAATAGACTTACATGTAGAAGAGCATTTGTAATCATAGGCTTCAATACATTTAGCTCAAAATGGAAATTTCATCCACCCACTGTAGTGACAACATGTTTTCTCACTGAGTTCTCCAATTAATGTTTATCATCTAAGTAAACCAAAATAAGACAGTAAACCTTACCTGAGTGCCAACCATAGTAAGGGCCTCTTATCTTAATTTTCATTCTAAGGGACTAATAACAAAGCTAAAGAATAAAGCTTAATTTCTTCAATTCTAGTTTCTGACAATTTCAAAGTAGATAAACAGAGGCAAAATGGAGAAATATGATCAGACAAAACAAAAACATGCTGAATTTTCAAGGTTAGAAAGCAAAAAAAAAAAAAAATCAAAATGAAGAAATAAAATTGAATTGCATTCATCGAATAATAGAAATTATCAAATTCGAATATTGCACGGGCCATCTGTCGATCCAAACCCTAGGAGCAGATTCAAATTGCAAAATAAAAAGAAACGAAGGAAGATAGAAACTAAGAGAACTTCTGAAAGAGAGTACCTTGAACTCGATCAAAACCCTAGATGTAGATTCAAATCCAAAAACAAGAAGAAACAAAGAAAGAAACTTGAGAGAGAGAGAGAGAGAGAGAGAGCATACCTTCAATGATTGAGTTTGAAAAAATCAGGACAAGCTTATTGTGTTTTTAGAATATAAGAAACAGAGGAGCACAAGATTGAGAAGAACATTACACAGAAAGAGTGAAATCGAGAGAAGAGAGAGAGAGAGATTCATACCAAGAGAGAGACAGAGCGAGACTACGTGCGAGAAAAGAACGATCATTGTGAAGGGCTAGGGCAAATATAAGGCAAATGGGGGAAATAAATATAAGAAAATAAATAATAAATTAGTTATTTGCGACTGATTATTAGCCGGTCGCAAATTACATGGTGGCAAACTGCCATTTTTCTAGTAGTGATGTTTTTTTTTTTTTGGCTCTTAAAATATTTTTTTCTCACTTCACCACTTATGTAACAACCAAAAAATTTAAGTTGTCTCTTAAATTTTATATTAATATTATTTAATAATAATAAAATAATATAAATATATGGAATAATATATATCATTACATAGCTATATGTGCTAAAGATATAATTTAATTTGACCTTGGTTTATTAAAATAAGATGAGTATATTTTACTTGAAGGCCAAGGCACAACAATTAATTGTGCAAATTGTTAGCGAGAGGAAAGTGAGCTAGCTGTGCTGCCTAACACTAAGAGGGGTGAGTCATCAATTGAAAGGAATCATTACATGGGTGATTCATCACCCAAGTCATGTATATATATAAATATATATAGGGAGGCAGTATGAACTAAGGCACAAAAAGAAAAGAAAGAGAGAAAAAAAAAAGAAGAGGGAAATTAATAAAAGAGTGAGTAAAGAAAGGAGCCTTGAAAAGTTAGAGAAAATAGAAAGGAATAGTAAGAATTAATATTAAGGTGAGTTATATTATACCTTGAGTTACCATTATATGTTTTACGTATGTTTTGAGTTACCATAATTTATTTTATGTAAATTGTGTTTAATAAATTATATTAGCATTTTTAATTTATGAACCTTATTTTATATAATAAGGAAAACCCATGGATATAACTGTTTATCAAAATGTATTTTGAGTAATTATTTTATAAGTACCACCACGGAGGTCCCATGCCTTGAGGGACTTAAATAACCATTAGCCCTCCGATTAGTCACTTTGTGACCTTTGTCTGTCATAGATCTACTGACTCTCTGATTTCTGGTGCGGAGCAAAGTGTTGTACGGAACTAAGTGCTATACTATTATGGGAGCCACCTCTAGAGTTCGTACGAGCCACCTCTTGAATCTTATTCTGGCGTGGAGCAAAGTGTTGTACAGAGCTAAGTGCTACACTATTGTGAGAGCCACCTCTAGAGTTCATACGAGCCACCTCTTAAGATCATGCATCTGTTCTGTTCCGTTCTATACCGTGGTTATGATTATTTTGTCTATAAGATTTCTGTATTGTATGTCAAATGATCTATGTATTATATACTCTGTATTTTAGTATCAAGCTTTGTTTAGCCAATAATTATCCACGGTGAATTTTATGCTCTTATGCTCTTAGTGTAACATTTCTCACTTTGCCATGTGCTTTTAACTGCTTACCAATTTTCAGGAAACAATGCAAATCAGAAATAACTTTTGCAGAGTCTTAGACGCGGGGCCGCGGAATAAACATACACAGCACTTTTATAGTATTTATAATTTTAGTCTTCATATGTAAATATTGGCCTTTTTGGTCAATAAATTTTGTTATAAAAATAGAAGCTCCAATGATTATTTTGGTACCCTCACTTAAATATTTTTTCCGTTCGCGTTTAGTAATTTGTTTAAAAATTGACCGGAGGTAACTTCAGTTATTGGCCATCAGGATGCTTAACCCTTGAGTACAGGAAGCGAGTCATGACATATTTTGTAATTTTTGTAATTTACTTTTAAAATAGGTACCTTCTAATTTTGAATGAAAAAATGTCAATTTGGTAACTATGTAGCATAAAAATAAATGAAGGCGAGCTTGTTGAAAATTTAAACTGCATGAATCACTAATAAAGATTGCGAGTGAATCTATTAAAGCCTCATTTGAGAATAGGTTATTTTAATAATTTTTTGACTTTTTATAAATAAAAAAAATGTACAGAAAAGTAGAGAAAATGATATGACAACTTATAATAGCTTTTTAAATTTTTGATTAAAATATGTAGGCCTATTTTGGGAAGTGGGTTAAAAGCCACTTCCCAACTTTTAACTCTCTCTCTCTCTCTCTCTCTCTCTCTCTCTCTCTCTCTCACACACACACACACACACACACACACAAAAAGAGTCAAAAAGTCAAAAAAATCAACTTTTAATTATCTTTCCAAAACATCCAATAATTGACAAATGAGACCTAAGTGTCAAAATACTTGTCTAATTGTGGATGGAAATTGTTTTGTGCATCACTTCATTTGTTATAGGACTTGGGAACTTTGAAACACAAATCATGCATCTAGATTGCTTAGAGATATCACTTGGGAACTTTATATGCATTAACCTACTTCTAAAACAACAATATGAAAGTTGAAAATTTATAACGTTTAAAATATTTTACACATTTTCTGTTGTTAGGTTAAACAAAAATTAAATAAAATATTTTTTAAAAAAATATTTTTCATCATAATTCCCAAAATGACTTACCATTATAAAATTCATGACTAAATTTTTATGAAGTGTACTTTCAACTTTACATTACATTGATATTTGAAAGGTAAAAAGGGGCTCGGGCTTTTATCCAATGCATATAATAGAAAGTTTTTATGTCAAAGTGTCAATCAAATACAAAAAATAAAAAAGTTTCTTTTTTTTTTGTGCAAAATCAATTATAAAAAATATTTTCGTATTTTACGTTGAATTTTTTAAGTTGGGTTGAATTGGTCCGAGTGGTCAACATAGACTAGAGAAGTTGATTTAGGTTGGGATCAAATTATGTTGGGAACTGTTTTTAGGCATGAGTAATTCGTTAGTTCATACATGTTTTAGAATAATACCTCGTAGCTCGAAAAAAGTTGGCTCGAATACCCAAAATGACGTCGTTTTGGGTATTATTTTTTTTTTTCTATTTCTTTTTCGTGCTTTCGAATACAGACTGAAGAAAGAGGCGAGAAAGAGAAAAAAGAGAAGAGAAGAGAAGAGAAGAGGAAGAGAGAAGAGAAGGAGGAGGAGGATAAGACGAAGACAATGATGGTGGATAAGAAAACGATGATGGCGGAGAAGGAAGAGAAGGAAGATCAACGGTGATGGCAGTATCTCTCTCTCTGCCAGTGGCGGTGCTGGTGGATATTGCCGTCCAGATTTGCAGATCACCGGTGGGTCTCTCGCCTCTTTCAGATTCTATAATTTTTTTTTTATATATTTTTTTTTGTGGTGATTGTTGGTTGTTGTTGATGATGATGTGTGTTGTTGTTGTTAATGATCGCCTCTTTAAGACTCTGTTTTCTCTACTTTTTTTTTTCTTAGTGAATCTAGATTTGAAGATGATGGTGTTGATGATGATGATGATGATGTTGTGTGTTGTTGATGATGATGATGTTATGTGTTGTTGTAGTTGTTGTTGATGATTTGAACAGTCCAAACTCTGTTTTCTCTACTCTCTTTTTTCCTACTGAATCTGGATCTGAAAATAATGATGTCACTATAAGAAAAGGGGGTATAAAACACGGAAGTATTTGTGATGGCACACTTACCGTCGTAAAAAGTGAGTTTTTGCAACGGCATCACTTGCCGTCTCCAATAAATCAGGTTTCAGCAACGATACCACTTCCTGTTGCAAAAAAACAAGTTTTTGTGACAACAAAAACTGCAGTCGCAAACAATTTGGATTTTTTGTGACAGCAACCCCCTGTTGTCACAAATAAAGCCATTTTTGCAACGGCAACCCCCCCGTCGCAAATAAAAAATTATTTAAAAATTGTTTAAACTTTCATTTGTGACGGTGAAACTTAACGTCGCAAAAAATAAAATCGAAAATCGAAGAACTCAATTTTTTTTTGCCCTTCGCGCTTGTTTTCCCCCTTCAACCAAAAATCCCCAATCTCAAAAATCCCTAACCTTTTGAACCAAAATCCCTATCTCTCTCTCTCTCTCTCTCTCTCTCTCTCTCTCTCGACTGTAAGCAGGTAAACGGCGGCGAGCCTCGAACTGACGGCATCGAGCGACGGCAACGAGCAGCGTGAGACGGCATATAGCAGCGTGCAACGGCGACGAGCAGTGTACGACGATGGCGGCGAGCAAGCAACGACGGTCAAGCAATTTTTTCGTCTTCATCTTCACGTCTCAGTCAGTCTCCATATCTGAACCAGGTTAGCTCTTCTTCTTCTTCTTCGTCTTCACGTCTCTCTCTTTCTTTTGGATTCCAAAGAAATAGGAAAGTAGATGGTGGTTGGAAAGTAGAAATAGGAGAGAGAGAGAGAGTGGGTATGCAATTTTCAATTCTGCCAAAAGGAAGAGAAAAGTAGAAATAGGAGAGAGAGAGAGAGTGGGTATTCAATTTTCAATTCTGCCAAAAGGAAGAGGGAAATAATAATAAGAATAATAATAAAAATATATGAATGGGAAAGAGACAGAGCGGCCTGAATGGAACACCACTATATGTCCTTGTGGAGCCTCGCCAGTAGACAATTTGTCTGTTTTATGCAATAGGGTCATCTGCTAGGAGAGCTAAAATGGAGCAGTTTAGTGTCTGGATGGTCGATGTGTGCTTACAACCAAGTTCTTTGATTCCGGGCATGAGGTGTATGGCTTGATGAGTCCAGAGGGCAAACAAATATGATGGGAAAGAGAGATATCGCTGGCACCGACTCGATGCTCGGTACTGTCTTCTCCAAGCTGCGTCAGAGCTGTGATTGCCGAAGAGGGCTTCGCGATTCCCTCAGTCGAATCGCTAACAACGAGAGGAATCTCTGGCACCGACTTGATGCGGTGGCCGCGAGCCATGACGAGGGAGGGAACGGCGGAGGCGGCGATGGCGGAGGTGACGGCGTAGCGGTTCTGGTTGACGGTGATGCGGCGGTGCCAGCGGTCACCAGATCTTTGTCGGAGCGAACATGCGGCCGCCGCGACACATGGTTCCGAAGGCACCTGGGAGACAGCGTAGGGCTGGCGACTGTGCTTGGACATGTTGGTGTGGACGAAGGTGATGATATCTGGGCGGATCGAGGATTGCATGACGTCCGGCAAGTGATACAGTCGCGGAAAGATGTCTAAAAAGAAAGAAAAGTTATTTGTTACTTATTTTAGAATTAGTTCGTTGAATGAATTTGGATCCTTGTTAGATTTTGTTTTATTTTTAGATTCCAAGAAACCCAGTTGCTACAGTTTGGTGCAGTTCTTTTTCTTTTTTCTTATTTGTCTTTAATCTAGGATTGTAGGTTTACATAACTATAAGTTGAAAATTGTGCTTCGCTGCATTTGTTGTGATATACAGCTCTGTTTGTTGGCTCGAATACCCAAAATGACGTTGTTTTGGGTATTATTTTTTTTCTATTTCTTTTTCTTGCTTTCGAATACAGATTGAAGAAAGAGGCGAGAAAGAGAGAAAAGAGAAGAGAAGAGGAAGAGAGAAGAGAAGGAGGAGGAGGAGGAGGATAAGAAGAAGACGATGATGGTGGATAAGAAAACGGTGATGGCGGAGAAGGAAGAGAAGGAAGATCGACGGTGATGGCGGTATCTCTTTCTCTGCCAGTGGCGGCGCCGGTGGATATTGCCGTCCAGATCTGCAGATCGCCGGTGGGTCTCTCGCCTCTTTCAGATTCTATAATTTTTTTTTATATTTTTTTTTTGTGGTGATTGTTGGTTGTTGTTGATGATGATGTGTGTTGTTGTTGTTGATAATCGCCTCTTTAAGACTCTGTTTTCTCTACTTTTTTTTTTCTTAGTGAATCTGGATTTGAAGATGATGATGTTGATGATGATGATGATGATGATGTTGTGTGTTGTTGATAATGATGATGTTATGTGTTGTTGTAGTTGTTGTTGATGATTTGAACAGTCCAGACTCTGTTTTCTTTACTCTTTTTTTTCCTACTGAATCTGGATCTGAAGATGATGATGTCACTATAAGAAAAGGGGGTATATAACACGGAAGTATTTGTGATGGCACACTTAGTTTTTGCGACGGCATTACTTGCCGTCTCCAATAAATCAGGTTTCAGCAACGATACCACTTCCTATCGCAAAAAAACAAGTTTTTGTGACAGCAAAAACTGCAGTCGCAAATAATTTGGATTTTTGGTGACAGCAACCCCCTGTTGTCACAAATAAAGCCATTTTTGCAATGACAATCCCCCCGTCGCAAATAAAAAATTATTTAAAAATTGTTTAAACTTTCATTTGTGACGGTGAAACTTGACGTCGCAAAAAATAAAACCGAAAATCTAAGAACTCAATTTTTTTTTGCCCTTCGCGCTTGTTTTCCCCCCTTCAACCAAAAATCTCCAATCTCAAAAATCCCTAACCTTTTGAACCAAAACCCTCTCTCTCTCTCTCTCTCTCTCTCTCGACTGTAAGCAGGTAAACGACGGCGAGCCTCGAACTGATGGCGTCGAGCGACGGCAACGAGCAGCGTGAGACGACATCGAGCAGTGTACGACGACGGCGGTGAGCAAGCAACGACGGTCAAGCAATTATTTCGTCTTCATCTTCACATCTCAGTCAGTCTCCATATCTGAACCAGGTTAGCTCTTCTTCTTCTTCTTCGTCTTCACGTCTCTCTCTTTCTTTTGGATTCCAATTTCACATTTCTTCTCTCTCTTTCTCTCTCATTTTCCTTGTAATCTCTCTCATGAATTTCCTTTCAGGCACTGACAGCTTCACCTGAACTTTGAACGATCTACCAATTCATCAAAATTTCAGTTCCTTCGCTAACCTCATTCTCTCTTTCTACCACTAAATTTTGTCTGGGTATGTATATTTATATATTTTTTTTGTTCACTTTCTTTTTTACTCCCTTGAATTTTCATTTATTTCTCGCTTAATTCCGTTTGATTGTTTAGAAAATTGAGTTAAAGAAAAAGAAAATTAAAAAGAAAGCATGGGTTATTGTTACTTTTTGTGCTTTGGCAGACAACTATTCGAACTGATATGAAATTATGAATTTTTATTTTTATTTTTTTGTAATTGGGATTTTTAAAAAAAAAAAATTGGTTAGAGATTGAGTGGATTCATTCATTTCTAGGTTTGGATTTCATTATATGGTATTCAAATTTGGATCTGTAGTTGTAAATTTGAGCAAATAAGTTTTTGGCTTCTTTGTTCGCATTGATTCGGGTTTGGATCTGGGCCTTTTCTTGATTCCATAGCTAATTCACTATGAATAGAGATTTTCATTGCTACTGTCTTAAAAAGTTCATTTTTTTTTTCTTCATCTTTGTGCTATAATTGAATTTTGAACTATGGATAATTGTTGATACAGTCGCGGAAAGATGTCTAAAAATAAAGAAAAGTTATTTGTTACTTATTTTAGAATTAGTTCGTTGAATGAATTTGGATCCTTGTTAGATTTTGTTTTATTTTTAGATTCCCAGAAACCCAGTTGCTACAGTTTGGTGCAGTTCTTTTTCTTTTTTCTTATTTGTCTTTAATCTAGGATTGTAGGTTTACATAACTATAAGTTGAAAATTGTGCTTAGCTGCATTTGTTGTGATATACAACTCTGTTTATTCAATAGGTGTTCCTTTTGTTCGCTATTAATTGGTGTTGTTTATATGCATTTTATTTTATTTTTTTAATCATTTAGCATGGAAAAAAAGTAAATATCATGGCTGTAATTAGTTTTTGCTATGGTGCTGAATGTGGAACATATATTTGTAACAAGCCGAAAATTTAAGTTGTTCCTTAAATTTTATTATAAATGAGAAAAACATTAAATGTTTAATTAAATATTCTGTAAGAGTAAAATAAAATATTGAATGTTATAAATATATGAGAAGTGTAATTTAACTTATAAGTTATTATGTAATTATTCTATGTAAAATTAAGTAGATAATTATTGAACATAATTATAGAAAATAAAAAAAAAATAAGAAGAAGATCAAGATGCTCATCCGTAAGGATAAGCATACCAGCAAGGTTGGCCACGTGTTGCTTGGGGAGGGGGATAAATGGATTGGAATGAAGAGGGTTAGGGAAGCACCTATAAAAGGGTGCTTCGAATAAGAAGAAAGGAGTCAGCAAAGTGTGGACAGTGATTAAAAATGGAGAGTTTGAGTGAATGGAGAAGTAACAGTAAGGGATTAATATGAAGATGAGTTATATTATATCTTGAGTTACCATAATATATTTTACGTATGTTTTGATTTACGATAATTTATTTGTATTTATTTTATACAAGTTATGTTTTATAAATTATATAAATATTTTAATTACGTTGATTATTTCTGAATTCTATTTGTTTAAAATGAAAGTCATAGATATGTTTGTTTAACTTTTAAAGAATATTTGACTATAACCTTATAATCAATTATATTTTGTTACTACGGGAGTCCCACGGCTTGGGGGACTTAAATAACCATTGGCCTCTATTTGGTCACTTTGTGACCTGCTGTTGTCATGGATCTATTGGCCTCTGTTCTGTGCGGAGATAAGTGCTACACTATTGTGTAAGCCACCTCTATAATCCGTACAAGCCACCTCTTAAATCCATACCTCTCTATTGTTATGAATTCATTGACCTCTGTTTTGACTGTCACTCATGTGACCTCTGTTCTGTTCTATTCGGTACCGTGGTTATGGTTATTTATTTACACAATCTCAGTTTTGCTACTTAAATGATTATTTGTTCAGACTAAATTATCTTAAATATTTTAGCTACATAACTATCCATGGTTATTTTGTGTCCCTTATACTCTTGGCATAATATTTCTCACTCTGCCACGTGCTTATAGCTGTTTACCAATTTTCAAGAAACAATACAATTCAGAAATAGCTTTTGAAAAATCTTAGACGTGAGGCTGCGGAATAGACACACACGGCACTTTTATGATATTTTTTTCTATGTAAATATCGACCTTTTTGGTCAATAAATTTTGTAATAAAAATAGAAGCTCCGATGATTATTTTAGTACCCTCACTTAAATATTACTTCTGCTCGCGTTTATTAATTTGTTCAAGAATTAGCCGGAGGTAACTTCAGTTACTGGCTATCACGATGCTTAACCCTTGGGTACGGGGAGCGGGTCATGACAATATTAGACTGCGTTTTTGGGAAATTTGATAAATTATTTGATTGAAAGGTGATGTCTTGTGAGATATGGTTATATTGGGTAAACAAAACTGCAAATTATCACTTAGTTTTTATTGGTTCTCGGCTCAATTTGGGGATGATTCTGTGTCATGATGTCAGCCTTTGAACCAGCTAGTTTTGTTTGTTTACTATGGGTGGTGTTTTGTTTTAAGATTCATTTTCTAGAATCCTATTTCCCTTAGACTTCGATATAATTTTATTCTGATATAGTTAATTATATTCTGATATAGCTCTGTTTGGTTCTCAATTTGTATCCGTTAGAAGCAACCATATATATATATATATATATATAAAGTTAGGTTTCACTTTAAAAAGTTCGATATCAATCATTTTAGCTTTGTTTCAACTTTATTTTCATCTCCATTTTTCTCTTTGAATTGGGTTTCATCACAAAATCAAGCAATGCCTTCATTCTATTGTTCTATATTTTGGGGACTATTGTGTTTTAGTTCTTAGTTTGTTAGACCCATTTTTTTTTATACATACAACTTGTATTCGAGGTTAGAAAAGGTATAATCTTTTATATAAATTTGAGAAAACTGATTAATGGACTTGATATGTACATTGGCAGCACTCTCTTCATTTTGGAGACAAAAAGTTAAATCTCTTCAGTGGCAATATTGACTAATAAATTACTTTTATTTCAAGCTCTATGTTCTTAGTGTTTATACTTACAGCTTCGTGGGCACATTTACCATTGAACTCACTTTGTGTGTGTTACACACTTGCATATAGTTCGCTTAGAGACAGGATCTAGCTTAACATATAACTCACTCTTGATTCCAAATTTTCCATTTGACTTCATTTTTTTTGCAAGTGACAACCTTCTCTTGCTTCCCTCATGAACTTAATATATATATGTATATATTATTCTTAAATTTTGTTCAATTTCTATTTTACTATCTTTGTTTTCAATAATAGTTAAGTAAAGCTGCATGCCTTTTCAAAATTCATTATGAAATGTTTGGAACTATTATGCTGATGACAAGGCTGCATATTTTCATGAACACCTCTTGATATTGTTGCGCAGCTATGCAAGTACACTAAAGAGAAACCTAGAAGATTATGATGCGCTGTACAATTGGGCGTTGGTGCTTTAGGTCTGACATTGTGATCTTTAATAGTTTTGGGACCATTTGTTGTACTTTAGAAGTAATTGGCTGTGATGTATAATATTTCTTGTAGCAAATGATGCTTTTGGGAAATTTAGTTTATTCTTCCGTTGCATGGATAATGCATCCTTGCATATGTTCACATGGCACTCAAACACACATTTGTCTGCTTACTTTTGGGACTTATTTGTTTTATTTGCTGACGCTGAACAAGAACAGAGAACTTGAGTTAAGAGGGCTACACTGGCTAAAGTTACTTCTGGTCGTTCCCATCTATGTCTAATGCTTTCATTTCTTCTTTTCAGGGGATCAAAGTGACTTGCATGCTATCATATTTGATGGAATTGATTCAATCTGTAAGGTAGGAGCTCTCAAAATTTTAGTTGAAAGTTTCTCACAGGTTTTTGAAATTATGGGTTGGTAGAACAATTAGCTGCTATTACTTGCCATGGGTTTGCTAAATATAAGTTTTGGTGGTTATATGATCAATGTTGTCCGGAGAACTTCACACTTTTGAGAGCTTATCTGACAAGTCTTATTTAACATTCACACTTCTGAGGACTTGCATTTACCGACAACTAATTGTTAATTTCATTGCTCAATCTGCAAATTAGGTCCCAACTTCTATTTTTATTTAGTTGATGTTAGTAAATATTTTTCATGATAGGTCAAGTTTATGAAGTCCAAAAAGGCCTTTTTATTTGGAGTCAAGTTTGTTAAGATACTTGTACTTTGATGCTAATAATTGATTAGTATTTTTAATAACTGTCTTTTATTACTAGATTTATTTACGTTTTCAGTGTTGTAATGAACCATGTAATTGTTAGCCATTCTGCAATCTCTTTTGGTGTTATGTTATCCTATAAATTAAGATAATTTGTTATTGTTATTAACGGTCCCTTATCAACAGTTTAATTATTTGGTTATGCAATTTATGCTTTGGCTTGCTCTTGTAGTCAAGAGGTTCAACTAGAGATGGTATTGGAGTTTGTGATAGCATTGTCAACCAGCTCCTAACAATAGTTGGTTTAACTGTATTTCAATTTCTCTGTAATATTAATAGGAAAATGTCACGGTAGTAAAGCTACACCAGGCTAACCAATTTCATTAACTGATTGAAAATTACTTATTGTTTAGATAGATGGTGTTGAGTCACTGAACAATGTTTTGCTGATTAGGATGACCAACATGAAGGATTTGCTTGATGAAGCACTTTTGAGGTGACTTCTACAGTGTATATCTCTTCTCTATTGTGCTAAAAGTTTCTTCAGAAACTTAGAATTCGAGGTGTTGACACCCTAAACTCACCAAACGGCATTGGATTAGCACGAAACTTGGCACACATAACCAGCTAGGCACGAGAGACTTGTGGGAGAAGACGGGACTCAAATCGAGTTCCCGGTTTGGGAGTTAAAGTCGGATTTCGGTCTAAGCTAACTAGTTCTTTAAAAAAACTTAAAATTTGAGGTGTTGACACCCCAAAATCACCAAACGGCATCGGACTAGCATAAAACTTGGCACACACGCCCGCCTAGGCATGAGAGACTTATGGGAGAAGGCTGGACTCGAATCGGGTTCTTGATTTGGGAGCTAGAGCCGAATTTTGGTCTAGGCAAACTAGTTCCTTAAGAAACTTAGAATTCGAGGTGTTGATGCCCCAAAATCACCGAACGGCATCAGATTAGCACGAAACTTGGCACACACGGCCACCTTGGCATGAGAAACTTATGGGAGAATACGGGCCTCAAATCGAGTTCCCAGTTTAGGAGTTAGAGTCGGATTTTGGTCTAGGCAAATTAGTTCTTTAAGAAACTTAGAATTCGAGGTGTTGACGTCCCAAAATCACCAAACGACGTCAGATTAGCATGAAACTTGGCACACACGACCACCTAGGCATGAGAGACTTGTGGGAGAAGACAGGACTCGAATCAGGTTCCTGGTTTGGGAGTTAGAGTCGGATTTCAATCTACGCAAACTAGTTCCTTAAGAAACTTAGAATTCGAGGTGTTGATACCCCAAAATCACCAAACGGTGTTGGATTAGCACGAAACTTGGCACACACGACTGCCTAGATACGAGAGACTTGTGGGAGAAGACAGGACTCGAATCAGGTTCTCGGTTTGGGAGTTAAAGCCGAATTTCGGTCTAGGCAAACTAGTTCCTTAAGAAACTTAGAATTCGAGATGTTGAAGCCCCAAAATCACCGAACAGTGTCGGATTAGCATGAAACTTGGCACACATAACCGCCTTGGCACAAGAGACTTGTGGGAGAAGACGGGACTTGAATTGGGTTTCCGGTTTGAGAGTTAGAGCTAGATTTTGGTCTAGGCAAAATTATTTACTTAATTATCTCTGTAATTGTATAGTAGTTAAATTTTTATATTTTTTTATAATCAACATATTAATACATAATTATATTGTCATTAATTATTTTTATTTTTTGTTTTCAAATATTTCCCGAGTAGGAGTTTGCTTCTTGTGGAATGCATGCCCGTGAAGAATGCGACTAACTTTTTTTTGTTACCCACAGAGAATGATGAGGAAAACTTTTATTTTTGGTTTATGTTATTTTGAATTGTGAACAACATTATGTATTTAAATATTATATATGTATTATGGAACATTATGTAGTGAGGTAATATTGCTGACGTGTAGTTATGAATGCAAGAATATTTTTATTATGGAGAAATTATTATTTATACAAGAATTTTTATATTATTATGCAATTATTGGTTTCTTTTTCAATTTTTTTCATTTAATTTTAATATTTTTAATATATATATATATTTTTTTTGCAACAGCACCACACCGTCACAAAAAACATTAAAACTAAAATGTATTTTTTTTGGCGACAGAGGTCATGCCGTCGCAACAAAAAAACATTTCGTGACAGCATTTTTTTCCCGTCTCAAATAAAACTTTTAGCGACGATACAACATTGTCGTTGCAAAAGATCTCAATTTTTTACATATTATAGGCAATAGCAAAATATCGTTGCAAAAGGCAACATTTGCTGTTGCAAAAAAAAAGGAGACGGTATCATGCCGTCACTAAAACGTTTTAGCAACGCCCTCTTTTGTGACCCCCCTTTGCCATCGCTAAAAGTCATTTGTCGTCACTAAAAGTTTTTTGTGACGGCATTAGGAGAGTGACGACATTTTTCCGTCACAAAAAACTGAAATTTTTGTAGTGTGTTGATGATGATGATGATGTTATGTGTTGTTGTGGTTGTTGTTGATGATGATTTGAAAAGTCTTTCCCTTTAATTTTTTCTCTTTCAGACTCTGTTCTCTCTTTCTTCTTCTTCTTCTTCTTCTTCTTCTTCTTCTTCTGAGAGAAAAGAGAAATGAAAAAAAAAAAAAAAGCTACCCAAGACGACGTCGTTTTGGGCAGTCGAGCCACCTGGGCCAAAGGAATTTCGAGCTACTTAGCAACTTTGTATATTTTACCATCTTGAATGTAGTCATGATTACTTTTCACATAAAACTTTATTGAGAGTGATTTTCAAATTTTTGTGGATGTAGATGATATTTTTTTCGTCTCAAAATATTAGTCACTTATTTTATTTTTTAATTGTTCCAAAAATTAGTCACTTTTCAAAAATTAAGGACTAAAATAATCTAAATTTCTTATTTTGTCCTTATTTTAAATTCATTAACACTACAAAAAGTACAATTATGACAATTGATATTTCCAAACAAATGTACCATCAAAGAATAATTTTGAAAAATTAATATTTTTAAAGTACAATAATTGTCCTACCAAAAAAATTAGATTCCCCAAAAGAAACTATTATTTTGAGACGAAAGGAGTAGTTCTTTAGCAACAAGAGACAAGTCCTAACTTCCAAAGAGTGCATTATATTTTCGAAACAAAACCAAGTTTTATAATAAGTCATAATGAGATTTTACAACCTAGGTCGGGATTTTATTTATTTATTTATTTATTTATTACACTTGATATGGCCATTAACTCCGTCGGGGTTGTTAACAACTCCGCTGGTCCCAAGCCCAGGTTAAGGAGGAGGGTTGTATGTTAGGTAGCCGACAGCCAACACGTAAAAAAACCGCTCGAATCCCTTATGACAATAAAACCTACTTTGAATCATTTAAATGCTAGGTTATTCCCCTCAAGTGACGCGTTGCGCTTGCTTCCGGGTGTTTCGAAAAGTGAGCAAGGGGCGCTGTATCGACACCTGGGTGCGATGCAAAAAATAGGTAAAGATTCCTGCATTTTTCTGGATGAGCGTGGGTAAAGAAACTAGTCCAAGACTACAAATTTAGGGTAGCCACTTGAAATATAGGAACCTTAACTAGTAAGACAGTGGAATTGGTAGATGTCATGATTATAAGGAGAGTTAGTATAGCTTGCGTACAAGAAACTAAGTGGACGGGTGAGAAAGCTAAGGAAATTAAGGATACCGGTTTTAAACTGTATTATAGTGGTAAGGATAGACGCAGGAATGGGGTAGGAATCATACTTGCCAAGGTTTTGTGGAGAATGTAGTGGCAATCATTAGGAAAGGGGATAGGATTATGCTAGTTAAACTAGCTATTGGAGGGAATATAGTGAACATTATTAGTGCATACACCCCTCAAATAAGATTAGATGATCAGACTAAGAGGGATTTTTTAGAGCAAATGTCATGACCTAAACCCACCCCGATAGGTTTAGTGTCATAACCGGCCAATAATTCTTGGATTACCGAAGGCCTCTTAACATAATAGCATATAAATAGGGGCTGCAGAAGCAAATACATGAAATATACATAGTCCAACGAGCTGTGAAGACATACATAGGACTGATAACTTCGAACTTTTATAACCATAAGTGTGATCAAAACAAAATGCAGCAATTAAGTCACTTCATGTATACACAACAGAAAACTCGTTCGTAAATCAAAAGGAACAAAAACTTATACATCCCCAAAACACAGCCACGAGGCTTGACTCAAATTGGAACCTCCTCGAGAGGCATGAAGGTTGGCTGTCAAAACTAAAACTTCAGGTCCTCAACTCTGAGCATGTTCACGTGCCTGATCACCTACATATGTAAGTAGTGAGCAGGAGCCCAGTGAATAATAACAAAGTAAAGAGTTAAATGAATGATGCCCCATAATTAAGTTCGTACATAGAACCAATTCATATACGTGTTCTCATTCAATGCGTGTACAAAATTCAGGAATTATGCTTAATCATTCATAGTTCATCCGTTAGCACTAACAGAGCATACATAGAACATCATAGATCATACTTGTCAGTTCCGCAGAGGAACCTCCAGCCGGGTATGGATAACTTGCCAGTTCCATAAAGGAACCTCTAGACTGGGTACAGATAACTTGTCAATTCCATAAAGGAGCCTCCAGTCGGGTACAGATAACTTGCCAGTTCCATTAAGGAACCTCTGGTCCGGGCACAGATAACATACTTGAATCACAGCATAAATACCACAAATATTTATTAGAATTGGACAATCATTCATAATACAAAACATAGCATTTCATAAAATAGATCTCATTCCATATACAGAAAATAATTTAACTTGAACATAGTTTTACTAAGTTATTACTCATAGATGACCGGTGGCTCCAAATAGACGAGTAGAGTAGGCAATTAACTTAACTTGAGGCGCGTGACCTACATAACATGCCAGATACATACATTGAAACACACGCTCGGATTATACGTAACTTATTTCATTTGTCCTTAATGTGTTTCTAGCCCTTGTCCTCATTATAGTGTTTTAATCTTGGCCTAGGAATGCCTAGGATGGAATATGGATGCAAAAATGTACTTAAAAATATTTTTCAAAACTAGATGGAAACAGGGTCTACGCTTGAGCGTGGATTTCCTGGCTCGAGCGGACGTGCAAAATGTGAGGGTCCGCTCGAGCAGTCTGCAAACTTTGAAAAAGTACTGGTTGCTTGTTTTTCCCGCTTGATGCGCGCTCGACACTCGCTCGAGCGTAAGAGACATGCCCCCGCTCGAGCGCACATTTTGTCGCTTGAGTTACAAAACAGAGGAACTTCTAGGAGCATGCATTTCACGCTCGAGCCAGCCTTTGGTCGCTCGAGCGGAAGTGTGAGACACAGAATGGTTGCTCGAGCGTGGAATCCATTGCTCGAGCGTAGGAGCAGAATTCTGAAATTTCCAAAATTACTTCCAAGCTTTAAAACTCAATCTTAAAGCATCAAAGCTCGATTTTTCTAGGCCAAAACTTAAGGAAACATTGAGAAACTTATAAAACACCA